ATGCCAACGCGCTTTTCATTTGAATATCCCCAGAGAGATGTGGTAACTGTGGAAGCGACCCCAGAGATCGCCTTTCTCCGACTCTAGACGCACTGGGAATATTTTTTTCAAAACATTCATTGAATCTTTGGCTGTGTTGTTACGTCTTCGGGTGCCATATTCTCATCTCGCGCCTAAAATTACCTATTTGTAACCTAAGTTACATTTCACCAAAACCACTACTTTAGACGAAAGTTCTCTTAATTTGCAAGATAAAAGACATTCTGCATTACGGTGAAAACTAACTAAATCCATGCTACCCGTCATATGCTATAAATCTATCGTATATTGATTGTGGTTTTTGGATTACCTAACGAATTATAACAGGTTTACAATTTGTATGTAACCAAAATTACGTAGTCACAAGTCGGTCAGGCTTCAATCGTCAGTCTGACATTTCACATTAAGTTCGTACTTTTCTGCGAAATCCTAACAGTGCGTGGGTTCCATACAACTCCAGACAGTTTCCAAAAACGGTTTCTGTGAATCGCAAAAACCAGTGTAAACTTAATAATGGCAAATCCTTTTATCAGTAAGTGTTATAACATACAGGGTGGCGCATCGAAAACGAAACAGACGCATTTAGTGGCAGCTCCGTTTTTTTTAAAAAACGCTCAGACCTGTCGATTTTGTTTTCGAGGGGGACACAAGTTTGGCAAAAAATCACGCTAGCACATGCAGCCCCCTAAGCGGGGGTGACACTACTCCAAAAATCTTAAATGGAAAGGGGGGTCAAGTGATACCTTATTTTAAAGGCATTTCAATTCCCTTTATAATGATATAAAACTAATGTACTTCAGTTCAGTAGTTTTGAAGATTTATTGATTTAAAGCTTAAATAAAACTAATACATCATCATTAGTGGAGATCAATACATTTGGCAGCAAAGTAATTTAAAAATGAAGAATGAACTGACCCGTTAGGCAAGTAAATGTTGAAAATGGCCACCATGACTCTCCATGCAATAATAGAGATTTTGCTCAAAACGTTGCCGCACATTTTTCAATATTTGAGGAGTAATTTGAAGGCACTCATTCACAATTCTCTGTCGCAGGTCTTCTAATGATGTTGGCTGAGTAGCATAGATTTTGCTCTTCAAATGACCCCACATAAAGAAATCCAAAGGTGATAGATTTGGCGATCCTGGGGCCATTCAATGGCACCTCTTCTACCAATCCATCGATCTGGAAACGTCCGATCTAAATATTGTCGAACACGTAATGCGTAATGTGGTGGAGCACCATCCTGTTGGAACATCAACCTATTCGCAATGTACCGCCGATCATTCTGATAGTCAATTATGGCTGTTAATGCAGGATCTATGGCGTCTTCCAGTAATTCCAAATACAATTCACCGGTCAAATTTCCAGGTAAGAAAAATGGACCAACTAAATGCCTAAACATTTAATTTTTGTGGCTGCTATGTATGAACCTCATGATAAATTCTGGGATTAGAATCGCCATTTAAGAAAAAGGAACATTCGTCGGAAAAGCAAGTGTTGAATAGAAAATTTTCATCGTTTATAATTCGTTCACTCATATCTTCACAAAATTGTAATCGTCGATCAAAATCGTCTTCATTAAGTTCTTGTACCAGTTGAATTTTATACGGATGAAAACGATGGACCTTTAGAATCCGTTGGTCAGTACGTCGACCAGCACCACACAGTCTCCAATTTATTTGGGGGTACTTAACGTAGGATCTACATAAACTAAAACTAAAACCCCCACTTCTATTGCTTCGTTCCTTGTGGGATTTTCAATGTTGCGTTTTTTATTGGCGACTGACCCAGTTTCCCAAAATTTAGCTACAAGTTCTAGAACATATTTTCGATGCACGTTACTGTTCTCGTGTAGCTCATTAAATATTCCTGCTGTTCTATTAGCGCACTGATTATTTCCGAAAAATATTTCGATAATTTTAACTCTTTCTGCTGTGGAATATACCATGGTTAATTTATGTAATAAAGCGTTACAAGTTATTTTAGCAACAACGTTTGGTCAAATCAATCGCAAACTATGTACTAAATTCCTATTTGAAATAAGTACGAGATATTTCCTTATCTTTCTTGAAGAAATAACTTTTTTGCCACAAAAAACGCTCTAATAGCTATTCTTAACAACAAAATGTTAAACAAACCAAGGGTGTAGTGGAGAAAAGCATTTACTTATTAAGTAAATTCTTTTAGTCAAATTTCTTCTGAAATTAGTACAAACGAATCTGATGTACCTATTAGAGTCTACTTTAATCTTCAAAACTACTGAACTGCAGCTCATGTATTTTACATCACTATAAAGGGAATTGAAAGACCTTTAAAATAAGGTATCACTCGACCCCCCTTTCCATTTAAGATTTTAGGGTTGGTGTCACCCCCGCCCAGGGGGCTGCACGTGTTAACGTGATTTTTCGCCAAACTTGTGTCCCCTTCGAAAACAAAATCGACGGGTCTGAGCGTTTTTCCAAAAAATGCCAGTAAATGCGTCTGTTTTGTTTTCGATGCGCCACCCTGTATATTATAGTGGTTTCAGTTGTGAAAGACCTCCTTCACCTTAACACTGGGCCTTTACCTAGACCGTTGTGAGGTAATTTTGACTTATTTCATTCCACGGCTTGTATCATTGAGCCCAATCTAAGGTTTGTTAACATAATATTACATAACAACAGCATTCAAAAATTCAAAAGATTGGAGACAAACCAAATTTTCTGGTGGATACCGAAAATTTAAGTTGACTAAAATTTTATCTGCTTCAATTTGAAACCTAAATGTTATTGGGAGAGGTACTTTCGTGTTGTAAGTAGTCGCTTTACGATCTTTTGTGTCACGAGATTATGTTTAACCAGCTCAGTATGCCAAAAAGGATCTTCTCGGATCCTGACAACTATCTAGAAAAACAGAGTAGAACTCGGGCAAGGTGTACCACTATCTCCAATTTGAATCGTTCGACCATTCTTCCTGTTTAATGAGGAGAATATTTCCTATTGTCTGACCTCTAAAATCACAAATTCAGCACAACCGTTTATATTCTGTGCCGTAAATATTTACTTTCTCTTCTTATTTAATTTATCAACGGTTATTAAAAATAATTGAGGGATTTACCCCACAAAACAGACAGCATTTTTGCCTTGCTGTACGTAAGTACACACGGAGCGAATAGCCGATGTCACGTTGGTAGACAAATTAGCCAAAATTAAGCACTAAATCCACAATTTTGGCGGCAAACAATGCCATGTGACCATATAGGTAGGCACAAGATACATTAATTGGCATCCAAGAGCATCACTTAACTCATTTTCATGGCTTCAGATCATTTCGTTGCGGTCAGTGATCCAATTACTTAGTAAAATATTGGGTTTCTCTCAGTCGCAGTGTCCATTTTTATTGTAGAGTAGAAACTAGTCGATTTGCATCAGTTGCATTACACGTAATTATCTATTGATTTCTCTTTAGGGTTTTCATATGTGTGTCTCTGAAAGTGGTGTTATTGTTTCTTCAAATCGATAACATCATTTGAAGAAAGTTGCATATGCATTCAAATATCATGTTTCTCACGCATTATCGGGCACTACGATACCGACCTGAGAAATCGCCATTATTTACCGCGTTTCTCTAAAGAGGTAAACAATGAATGTGTGCATTATGTAGAGCTTCTTTGGCTTGTTGGCCACATAATTGTCACTGCTAAGACACCGTTTATCAATTTTTGAATGTTGCTAATAATTATTGTCTACTACAAGTCAACTCAGAGTTTATTTGACAATTGGAATTATTGTTGTTGTTTCTGTTTAATTATAATGAGTGGGAAGCGAATGATTTGTCAACCACTTTTACTTTTATCAGTCTCTATCATGCGGCAGCAACGTTCTGTCCTACGCACCGTGAGGAAAACGTTTCATGAGCTTTATTCGGACAATGTTGCCGGACGTTCAGAAAATTCTTAGATATGCTACAATTTAAATGAAATATAATAATTTAACATAGTCAGTAGTAAAAAATCTACAGATACCTTGGTGGAGAAAGACAATATTCTCCTCTCTGTTGTATAGACGTTAAAACTTGCGACGTATAGCCCCAATTGTAGTTTGTTCATCGTATGACAGCAGGCATTTAGTTCCATTTTTTTTTTTTGGAATTAAGTAACTGGTTCTAGCCCGTTTAAGGACTAGAAATGGGGCTATAAGTATATCAAATTTTGTATCCTGCAAAAACTGTAACGTATGTCAAAATTGATTTGTCAACTGTGAAGAAAATATTAAACGGAAAGGCTTGTCGCAAATCACTGATAAAGAGTAAGTATATGTTTAAGCTCCTAGTAGAGGCCACCAATTTGGGCCGGTTTACGGTTTAAAGGATGGCTGGTAGCTTCTAAGGCTGTGCATGAAATGAGCCACAGTAAATAAGATTATCAATATTTGTCTGGTTAGAACAGTATTTCAATTTTTAAAATTGTTTTTGTGCATTTTTTCTGCTACTTTTTACTCAGATTGATACATTTAATTTCAGAATCCTTATGTGGCAGAATTGCAAAATATGAAGAATTACAACAACACTATACTGCATTAAATACATATTTAAAATGGATATGATGAACGTATGAGTATGCTTTTTGCGAAGATATCTAGTTTAAAAAGATAAAAAAATGTACGTATAAATTTACTAATTATTTCATATCATACTTCTATAGGACATGTAAGCAGCACCACCACACTCGGGAGTTATATAGTCGGACTTAAAACCCATAGTTAAGTAATTCCAGAAGATTATATTTTTTGTGATTGAAGCCCACTGCCTGAAATTATAGCCTTAGTTCCATAATAACCCTGCACACGATATTTTTATAAAAATGCTCGGTAAATAATAGCATACTTCTCCACCAAGGCTTGTAATATACATTTTTTGTGATATCTTATTTCGATTCAGATTGCTAAAATATTCGCTAAGATAACTCGAAGTCTATATTCACCTGAATAACGAAAGCAGGTACTGAAGTGAAGGTTCGACTTCTACAGATGATGCTTCTACTGGAACGGTGATCAAAACCAAAGGATGGCCCTCTTTGTCTCTTCCTCCTGGTAGTACTACTAATCGTCCTTCTAAGCTTGATACTTTTCGTGCATCACATTCCATATCCTGAAATGAATAGAAAATACCCTTCAGTACATAATCAGGAATCAGGGAATAATGCTATCCTTTGGGCCGGCCTCCAGGACTTACCGTAAAGAGTCCTGACTGACCATGGGTTTTTCATGGCAAAAGGCTACATCGGTAAATCCTTTAATCTTCAAACGTTTTTCTTTGAAATATTTTGGAGTTTTGGAATGTACGTGAATTATTATTTCCTATGTCACCGACGAGAAATAAATGTAATCACAAAAATTTATTTCATTAACAGTATACGAGTACTATGTTTTTTGGATGTAACATGGAATCTGCATAACGAAACTCAGCGTCACTCATTTTGCCGATATCTCTGCCTGTCTGTCTGTTGGAATTTTATGAAATTTTCACACAATGCTACGACTATGCCACAGACGCTGTTGTGCTGCCGAATTTGATGAATAGATTTATCTAGCGGTGAGGGAGGTATAGACGCTTGTGTGGGGCCGGGAAAAAGATTTCTATCGACTAATTGTAATGGCCTGTTCAGCTAACTTGATCTATTTAATTCCGTTAAATTTCATGGGAAGTGCAGAGTCAACGTTCTTGATTCCATTCTTTTTATTAGTCCGCGTCAGCGACTTAAGTTGCTGCGGAAACTGAAGAGACGTCTGGAAAAACCTTACGTGCTCGGTAACAAAGTCATAACAACCAGTATGACATGTCTCCACTTCATGGAGAATCGCACTATGTGAAAGGTTTTTCTATAGACTGCCTTTGATGCAAGTAGTAATTTCACCCAACAACAGTGAAGTGGGTGTGGGCTGTGTGTCCTAAATACTTGTATAAAGCATATAAATAAGATAAGCATCTTAGAATTCAAACAAGCCAACGCATAGTTCTTACAAAATTAGTGTAATCGTAAGTCAGAATTATTAAGGCTGGTGTGGCAAAATTACGAGACGAGTTATACTAAGTGACATATAAATCCGAACACCCAGTTTAAATGGTTTTATTTTAATAAAATTTTGCATAAGTACTTAATGAAACATAATAAGTAAATGATAAAAATTTCAAAATGATTGCACTGCTTTAAAGTCCTTTGACCTTTAATAATGTGTGGATGCACCCTGATGTGCTACGCATTCTCCAACGCGCCTAGGCATGCTTCTGATCATGTGGTCAATGTCCTCCTGTGGTATCTCATTCCAGGCAACCACCAACTCCTCTCGAAGTGCTTCTAGAGTCTGAGGAGGACGTTGCAAATTGAGCAATCTCCTACCCATCATATCCCACACGTGCTCAAATGGGGATAAGTCGGGAGATCTTGGTGGCGATGGTAACAATGTGACATCATTATGTTGAAAGAAGTCTATTGTGACTCTTGCAACATGTGGTCGGGCATTATCTTGTTGGAAAGTTGGATCTGCCAGGGTGTCAAGATAGGATAAAAGATGGGGTTCTAGAACTTCGTGGATATAACGCTGCGCGTTCATGTTAACTCTGATGAAGATTAAAGGTGACCTGGAACCATAAGCTATAGCATCCCAAACCATAACTCCAACAGTGTGATGAACATGTCTTTCAACAAAAAACTGTGGATTCCTCCTTTCACCACGTCGCCTTCTAACCCTGGCACGACCATCGTGCATGCCTAAACAAAATCAAGACTCGTCACTAAAGACGATACTGTTCCATTCCTGATCCCAGAGTGACCGTTGTCTGCACCACTCAAGGCGATTACGTCGGTGTTCTCGAGTTAAAGGGAGTACCCAGTGTGGCCGGTATGAAAACAAGCCAAAACTTCTCATTCGTCGGTAAACACTTCGCATGCCAATAGGTCTTCCGTGTTCTGCAAACCATTCATTTGCAATGGACCAGGTAGTGGAGAAACGGTCCCTTAAGGCCAATAATCTTAGGCGGCGATCTTCACGGTCTGTTGTTCTACGGCGGCGTCCAGTGCCCCTTGCTCTTTGCGTACGGCCTTCTCGAAGCCATGCCTGACAACACCTAACCACAGTGTCTTTGCACTCTAACTGTAGTTGCCCGAAAAGAAAGTCCAGCTTCCTGAAGTCCCACTATACGGCCCCTATCAAACTCACTAAGTTGACGAAATCGTACAGGTCTCCGTAATCTAGGCATCGTAACCGATCGTGAAGGATGTCAAGAACCAAAATCCGCCAACGTTGATTCTTTACTGCGGCTGAAATATTCATTTTTAGAGCGTTAGTGAATTAAAAAAAAGAAGTATAAAAACCGGAATGTCCAACTGATAAGGCTGAAAATTTTTTCACTTGTTATTTACAGTAAGATAAATACATTCGCCAACTTTTATTAAAATAAAACCATTTAAACTGGGTGTTCGGATTTATATGTCACTTAGTATATTTCAGATGAACTACATAGGGTGTTTCAGAAAAATCTGGAAATACTTTTAGGGTAGAGAGTACATCAAAAAAAAAAAAATAAAAAGATTCCGTTTAAACATAAGTCCTAAAATGACCCATTACCAATATACATGGTATTGTAAATTTATACGCTACTGATGGGGCCAAATAAAGATAAAACATTAATATTTTTCGAATAAAATTATGGTGTGATAGGATTTCTATATATAATGTTCAATGGCAATCCTGGCTAACGTATGTTCAGTGAAAAGAATGAGTTGAAGCTTTTTATGCAGGTTTCACCTCAAACATTCAAACCCCTTTCCCTCCAAAAGATGTAGTCTGACAAAAATTTCCTAAAAAAGTGACTCGATAAAGTTGAACACTTTATTCAAAAAGGCAAAAGATATTTGAAAAAAGCAGTGGCGCAAGAAATAATTCTCTTTTGTCTTCTGTATGAGTTAGTAATATGTACATATAAATTTATATCAATATCTTTATCCACTTCGGAAATAAATGTATATGTTTTGCTTTTAACATTTTAGGCATATTTACATTTGTTTTCCGAACTGTTTTTTTGATCTCCTTTACGCTCTAGATTTCTAGAAATATTACCACGTTTTTCTGAAACTCCCTGTATAGCTTTTTTCTTCACTGGAAGATATACTTTTTCTCAGCGGAATATAAATATGATTGCTATTATTGTATGTCTTAAGAAGTTGTATTTGGTCTCCGCGTAGGCTATGTGGAAAATGTGATCCAATGTTACGTTTCACTTCAAAAAACTCAACATGTAATTATAAGCGTAGCAGTTACGGGGTCGGTATTATACTCTCTTAACCACAATCTGTTTCATATAACATATTAGCATTTAATACTGATTTACATAACACATTATCCAGCAGTATACACAGGCTTATGTGTAATAAAAATTATAGATAACGAAAATGAATTAACTTCAACACGCTTTGTTTTAACGATAAGCATTACTGTATAAGAACTGCATTAATAACAAAATTTATAAGCCCGCTATTTATGAGTAAATTTAGTTAATTGCTTGAAAACGTGCATTGTTGATCTAAGTGTATTCCTGTAGGTGTTCGATCGCTCTCGTATGTGGGCATAAAGCTTAGAATGCCGCGGAGCTATACAAGGTGTTTCAATCATCTTGTCAATATTTATAGGGTACGAATCAAAAGTTAATAATGAGGTCTGGAATGTCCCTTACTGGGTTACAGCGTGTTGGAACTATAATTTCAAAATTGAAAAGTATGTAACTCCCGATTGAATTAAGATATTGATATTATAGCCAATACTTACAAGAATGTTTGTGCCCGAGACTACAGCAGGATCCTACAGAAGAAAAAATAACATATTTTTTAGGTCACTGTCTTTTTTGAAAGACTTAATGCATTTTTCAATTCCATTCCATTCCATTTTACATTGACCTCTTTCCTTTGCCGGACTATTCGTTTTTCTAACTAAACATAGTGCTATTGGGATAACGTTCGTGTTTTGTCTTTATTCAGTCTCATCACTTCCATATAAATGTACACCTTGCATTGAGACATTTTGAGATCGCGGTTTATGGAGAAGTTTTGGTGTTTTTGGATCTATTTTGTATCCCAGAAATCATGGCAAGTTTTGCTGCTAAACATACTGTATAAGTAGGACCATCGATTCCTAAAATGTTTTAATACGGATCTGGAAACTGATGTGTCCATGTCAAAAGTAATTACATACATTGTAGACCTCTTGAGATAGGGTCAACAAAATAGACTTTGAATCATTGACAAGATCCTTTATAAATTCGGCCCTTCCTAAAAGCTACTTCACAAAATTTACATGTACCATCGTCGAAAACTTCGAGAATACCGTCTACCTACAATGGTACATTTAACAAGAACTGACAATCACAGGTTCAAAACTTTGAAGATGATGAAGCTCCAAGAAATGTAACCTTGAAATAATAAGATTCTGCATTCCAAATACCTGAGACCAGATCTTGGATCAAGGACGTAGTCTTAAGAATATTTTACTCTCTCATTCAAGCTGAATTTTATCTCTTCAACCAATCTGTTTTATCGCAGCTATTCTGAGACCTGCTTGTAATGCTTCGATATGACATCTGTGGTTAAGAAATATGCATGTAGCAATGAGGAAGTATGAACCTTTGATATCGTGCACAGAGAGCTTGATCTGATATGAATTGACCTAATTAGAGTCAAGTGAAATATTGCTTTTATATCGATAATGAATCTACAGATCATTATTTATTAGTTATTCGTGTAACCGTGCACACAGTTATTCATCGCCTTAATTTATGTGCAATGCGCAATCACGTAGTGTATTCCAGAATTTTATGTGAACCGTTGGAAATTGTGTATGTATGAGAAACGTACGTGACAGGAATTTACCTACAAAGGTGTAAAAAGACATGACAGATTAAATATATAGATTTACTATTTAAATCGTAAAATACTGATACTATCTAGTATGCTACAAGTGCGGTTAAAATCCTTCCAGGATTTGATTTCATTAAATAAGAGGCACACTAAAAGACCTATGACAAATATTTAATTCTATTAATTCTGACACTCAAGGCTACATTAGACATTGAGCAAAGTCATACTGTGTGTGTCA